TGTGTTTCCAGTTCCTATCTGTACCAGTGTACATCCTCTGGTCTAGCCAGATTTGTAAGGTAGAATTGGGATCATGATAGTGGGGGGATGAAGCATTTAAGAACTAGAGGAAAATTGTACGTTTTATTGTTGCTACACTGCACCCTGACTGGCTCGTCTCCTCCCTTCCCTGTGACCATTCTGTAAGGGGATGTCCAGTTGCCCACAGATGGGTTTTGGGTTCCCAATCTGTACTTCCCCTCATTCACAATGATAAGATTTTTTGTTCCTTGATGCCTGGTACCTGATCCCTTCGACACTTCCTGATCACATAGACTGGTGTGCTTCTTCTATGTAGGCTTTGTTGCTTCTTAGCTAGATGGCCGCTTGTTTACCTTCAAGCCTTTAAGACCCCAGACACTATATCTTTTGATAGCTGGGCACCATCAGCTTTCTCCACTACATTTGCTTATGCACTGGCTTTGTCTTCAGTGATTGTATCGGGAAGGTGAAGCGCACATTGATATGTTTTTTTTGTTCTTTGATGCCTGATCCCTGATCCCTTCAACATCTCATAATCACACAGGCTGGTGTGCTTCTTCCATGGGATAGATAATCATTATTATCGTTATTATTTAGGGAAGTCATTCATTCCATAGCTAGTTATTGAGCACCTCCCTATTGCATGTTAGGTGCCTTGCTAATTGGTGAGCTTTTCCCTTCTCCACTTTTCCTCCTAAAGTGCCTCTGTCAGTTGTACAACTTGTCCCTGCCATAAGGATCCCGGAAAAAGAAATCTGATTGGTTCAATTTGCCAGTTCAAATCAGATCATAGACCACAGGATACTGGCCCAAGAGATGGTCATCTGGGATCATAAGATCCACTCTGGTCCCCTCATTCCATGGCATCTCAGGAAAGGTGGTTTTCCTGCACAGGAGACAATAGACAAGGTAGCTTAACTCAAAGGAGAGGGCATGATAGACAGATGAGCCTAAACACAGCCAGCTAGAGTGGTTGTTCAGTACATATTAATGGATAGGTGAGTGAGTGAGTAAATGAATGAATGAATGGGTGGAGTAATAGAATGAATGTCCAAAAGTAGAATTAATTTTAGAGAGAAAGAATGAAGGCATTCGACTTGGGGGATATCAGGGAAGACTTGATGGAATAAGGGAATTTTGAGATGTTTAACACTTCGTCTTGAGATGACCAGGGAACTGGCAACTCATGATTCCAATTGTACCTTACAAATCAGGCTAGACCAGAAGATGTACACTGCAGCCATCAGAGCAGTAATCCTCGGACATGAGTATGCGTGAACTCATCTGCTCTTTGAAAATGCAGACGTCCAGGTCTGTTGTGTAGCCCAGGGACCTGAATTTTTACCAAGGCTTTAAGGAACACTGATCTAGAATTTTTGTCAATTAAAATCTTAATGAAAAGATGGTGTCTATTGATGGACCCTCCCTTTCTTTCTGTCAGGGGCCATCCCTGAAACCAGAGTCGCCATGGAAATGGAGTGCTCCAAGCGGGTGGTCCTGGGCTGTTTGACCACTTCTGGGACAAGGGGAAGGCATTTTGGAAAGAAGATGTTTGTTACTAGGTAGTTAAGGGAAAGTATGCTGGGCAAAAATGGCTCTTATTCACCATGCACATAATAACACATTTAATTATCAGGTCAATGCTGCAAGATAACGCTTGTATCCTTTATACAGGAGCCCCTGTGGTAAAGTGTTACATGTTGGGCTGCAATCCTCAAGATTTGCAGTTCAAAACTGCCAACTGCTCCTTGGGAGAAAGACAGGGCTTTCTACTCCCATAAACACTTATAATCTCGGAAACTCACAGGGGCAATTCTACCCTGTCCTGTAGAGTTGGCTGTGAATCAGCATTGACTCAGTAGCAGTGACTTTGTTTGTTTGTTTTATTTTATTTTTTGTTTGTTTGTTTTAAAGGGTACCCAAACTCAAGTGCCAAGAGTCACTAAGTCATATAGTAAATGATGTAACTGGGATTCAGACTGAGGTGTGTCTACTCTGAAAGTCTGTGCCCTTTCCATTGTACCTTTTACTGTTTTACCTTTTACCCTGTAACTCTTCTCCCCGAGGCTCAATTGGAGTTTGTGATTAAAGTGTGGTGGTTGCCAGGCTGGGTTGTAAAGGCGATATTTTGATTGCACTTTATTTAGCCTGTATTGATAGCCCATATTCATTATAATATACATTAGGCAGTTTGAAACATGAAAAGTCGCTTACCTCTCCCCCACTAGCTGACTTTCCTAGAATAGCAGTTCTCAATCTGTGGGTCGCAACTCCTTTGAGGGTCGAATGACACTTTCAAGGGGTTGCCTAAGACCATTGGAAAACACATAAATATTTCATGATATATAATTACATATTTTTTATGATTAATCACTATGCTTTAATTATGTTTAGTTATGTTCAATTTTTAATAATGGAAATACATCCTGCATATCAGATATTTATATAATAATTCATAACAGTAGCAAAATTACAGTTCTGAAGTAGCAACAAAAATAATTTTATGGTTGGGGGTCACCACAACATGAGGAACTATATTAAAGGGTTGTGACATTAGGAAGGTTGAGAACCACTGCACTAGAAGATTCTACTAGAAGCCTGTCCTTGACCTGAGGGCCACAAGCTTATAGCAGACAGGTAACCAAAACGAGACAGTACAGCTGGGAACACTATGGGGCCTGCGGGACAGACAGTGTTGTTGCTGCGTGATGTTGTCCCTTTACGTAGCCAGCTTACGTCTTTTTAAAATCATGTCAGGAACCTGGGTTTTTCTTAGAAAGCACTTTTTAAAGACCTGCCGAGGTAGCCATCATTGTTTTAAACACACTGGCTCAGGGTTTGCCGCAATGTGTCTCCTAATTGTGCCCTCTTCCTAGGACTGGTTTTTTCTGTGGGCGGTCTCTCCCTGCTTTGTGTCCTCTGTGGCTTGGGCTTCGCATCATTTGTCATGTCAGGGACGCTCACCATGTCATATGTGGTGTGCTCCGGCCTCATCAGCTACTGGTTTTCTCCCAGGTAAGTACATGTCAATGGGCTAATTTAATCTTTATCATTTGGGATGGTTTTCATGGGTAATACCATAACCCCAGTCAGTCAGTGTCTCCTAGCAAAACAGGAGCACTTGGTTCTCATAATGACCCATCCCTGTCAGGTATCATGGGATTTACAATCAAATGTCAAACACCAAGGATTACAACCACCATCTGTCAGACACTCGATAACTCATTTCATTGTCATGGTAACTCTCTGAGGTAGTTGTTACTGCTGCCTTTTTAACTGATGTCAATTTCATATACAAAAATTCGAGTGAAGTGGTTATTTGGGAGAACAGGGGAAACCACAGGAGAAAACTGGAGTACCCTTCTCAACTGGCATTTCCTCTAGAAGAAGACTAGGCCATGAGTCTACAGTTGCCACTTTCTGGTCTTCATGCCCTGTGTTCTTCAGAGTGTGTGCCAGCACATTGAGTAGGAGTCTGTTGTTGGTCTATGTGGGTTTTGTTCCTAAAATGTGGTCTGACATGCCCATGATCTCATCTGGGATTTCTCTTTAAAGACTGAAGGGGGGGAAGCCAGCTATGGTGAAATTTCTGGGAGGCACACCGTTGGCTTCTGATGAGGCACCTTCCTAAGGTATGTCCAAGAGTGGGGACTCTCGAAGCTAAGTCTCAAGTGGGATACGACTCTATAAAACCAAACCCAACTGCCATTTCAAGTCCATTCAAACGTGTAATGACTCTACAGGACAGGGTAGACTGCTCAGAAGGTTTGCTGAGATTGTGAATCTTTAGTTGTGTTGTGTCTTCTTCCATGGAGCAGATAGTTGTGTCTTCTTCCATGGAGCAGCTGGTGGATTTGAACTGCTGACCTTGTGGTCAGGCCAACTCTTAATCCACTGTGCCCTATAACTTGCTTCATTTAGGATACAAGCCAGTCAGGGTGCAGTGTAGCAACGATGAAACATACAACTTTCCTCTAGTTCCATAATGCTTTCTCCCCACCCGCCCCCCACTATCATGATCCCAATTCTACCTTACAAATCTGGCTAGATCAGAGGATGTACACTGGTATAGACAGGAACTGGAAACACAGGGAATCTAGGACAGATGATCCCTTCAGGACCACAGGTGAGTGTGGCATTACCAGGAGGGTGGGGTGGAAAGGGGAAACCAATTACGGGGATCTACGTATAACCTCCTCCCTGGGGGACGGACAACAGAAAAGTGGGTGAAAGGAGATGTCAGATAGTGTAAGATATGACAAAATACTAATTTATAAATTATCAAGGGTTCATGAGGGTGTGGGAGCTGGGAGGGAGGGGGGAAATGAGCTGATGCCAGGGGCTTACGTGGAGAGTAAATGTTTTGAGAATGATGAGGGCAACGAATGTACAAATACGCTTTACACAATTGATGTATGTATGGATTGTGATAAGAGTTGTATGAGCCCCCAATAAAGTGGTTAAAAAATAAAGCTCTTGCTGAAGTGATAATGGTGGCCAACACCCACTGAGTGCTTGATCTCTGCTAGGGACTTCTGTTAAGCAGTTTACAGGCCATAGCTCATACATACTTATGAAAATGGTGGAGAAATAGCTCAAATTCAAGTCACTTAATTCCAGATCCCCTTTACCCAAGATATAAAATGACTCCAACAGGAGTAGGTGAACAATTTCTGGAAAGGCCGGGATTATATATTTTTAGGCTTTGTGTGCCACACACCCCTTCAACCGACCTTGCTGTGGTGTGAAAGTTGTGTAGTGTAGGCAAACTAAGGTCATCTGCTGCATTCCAATACAACTTGAATTACAAAAACAAGCAGCAGGCTGACTTTGGTCTGAGGGACATCATTTGTCAAACCTTGCCCTAAAACTGGTATCTCAAGTTTTGAAAGTTTTGTACCAGTCTATGACTTATTACCTAAATCCTATCCAGTTATTCTGCATAGACCAGAGCATAAAACATGAAGTGGATGTAACTGTAAATCGTTCAAGGGTGGTTCCCATGGGATTGCTTAATTGGTGTACCTGGAGTCCTAGTTCGTTGATTCCACTTAGTTGACTGTTTCTTCACTCCTTTGTCAGAAAAGATGGAAAGTAATATCCAAGACTTATCTTTGATCTCCTTATCTTTAACCCCGTCAAGGAAATAGGACCTATTATTTTCATGTATCTCAATTTTCACTCAGAGCTTATTATACATTCTTGAAAATTATTGAGACTCCCCAAAAGTTTTTGTTTATGTGGGTCAAGTCTGCAGATAATTACTGTATTAGAAATTTTCACAGGCAAATGAAATTACCAAGAGGAGCATTAGGATTGTTTTGCCTTTTGCAAATCTTTTGAATGTCCATCTTCGAAGAACCTGCTGCCCTCAAGTAGCTTCCCACTCAATGCCCCTATCGGACAGAATCGAGCCATAGGCTTTCCAAGGCCGTGAATAGTCGAGGAAGCAGACTGCACAGCTTTATCCTGCAAAACACCTGGCGGGGGGCAAAGAGTCACAGCCTCGGAACCCCCAGGGGCAGTTCCATTCTGTCCTGGAGGGAGGCTTGGAGTCAGAATCAACTCGAGTGTTTTTCTTTTTTTGAGACTCACCCAAACCACATTTCCCAACACATTCCATCATTGAGGCACCCCGTTTCTGAGGCAGCAAAAGAGGCACTGATTTCTGAAAAGACCATCCAGAGGGCAATAAGGGAGTCAAGTCTGCATTACACTGATAGACTCTTAAAATAGAAAAGCAAACGTTTTCTGAAAGAACTAGAAGGATCCCAGGTGAAAATCCTTCATGTTCTCATATGAAAGGGAGAAAAAAGTTAAACACAGAGGAGGTATAAATGCATCTATATTTAATGTTCCAGAACTCAAACTCACTGCCATGGAGTCGCTTCTGACTTTGTGTATTCTCACTTTAAGGAGCCCTGTGGCACCGTTGGTGAAGCATTGGGCTACCAATCTGAGGCTGGCGGTTCAAATCTACTAGCTATTCTGAGGGAGAAAGATGAGGCTGTCTGCTCCTGGAGTGGTTCTGCTCTGACCTATTGGGTCATTATGAGTCAGAATCAGTTCAAAGGCAGGGGTGGTGGGGGTGGGGTGGTGTGTATGTGTGTGTGTTTAGTTCTAACTATGAATGCATCTCTCTAAAGTTTAGCCACAACTTATATCTCTAACACATACACGAGCAGGCAAAAGCACATTATCCCGTAGAACTATTCATATTGAGGTCAAAGGTACAGTGGATATTTTACAGCAGTGTCACTCTGTTAGCTTCCTCGGGTGGGAAATACCTCGGTTCTTGGCTTCACACGAGAAAGAATTCACACCGAAGCCTGGTTTCTGATCCAAGTGGGTTTTTATAAAGGACAGAAGTTGCCAGTTTTACAGTCTCAAAGAGTACATGCTATTTCGGGGAAGCATTGCCAAACAGCGAGTAAGCCATGCTGGGGTTCAACAAGCAGGTGCAGGACAGGAGCCAAAGAGCGGGGGTGGGGGTGCGGGAGGAAGGGGCAGTGTGGAGGGCAGGAAGTGGTCCCATTGCTATGGTATTTAAAACCCCTGGCTGGGAAGCACGGTCAAAGGTATTGGTTGACCCCATTGGCTGAGTGAAGTTCACCTGGGCCTAGTTTGGGCTGCCCAGGTATACCGCCCACTTGGCTGGAGGAGGGGACCTCGGGGGCTGAATTGGTGCATGCCCAGTTAGTCTTTATGGCTGGCTAAGGCTCCCATGATTCTCTGCCAACCTCCTCTGTGGGGGCCTTCAGGCATGTGGAGGGACAATCCCCCTGTCCCTGTCTCTTGCTACCTAACAAGACTATATTGAGTAACAAAATGGAGTCATAACAAGGAGACATTAGAAGTCTCAGAGTTAGCCTTAGAGATCTTAATTGTTTTAGGAGTTGTTTGTAGAATCTTCTTTCTTATCAAATAACCCCAATCCATAGGAGACCAAAAAAAAAAAAAAAAAGGAAAAGAAAAGAAAAAGGAGCTGTCCATGACGCAGAAAGGCAACTACAGCTAAATTCTCTTTGTAAGAAAAAGAAGCCTATAAAGTATCTTCATTTATGAAGTAAAGTCTGACCAAGCAACCTTTGGACCCGGTGCCTAAGGAGAGAACTTTGCCTCTAAGGAGGAAAGACTGTTGCTTTGTTAGGGAGCTGATGAGACAGGCAGCTGTGGTTTGGGTGGAAGTGGATGCTCCAATAGACGAGTCTGCTTTTAGAGTCACCCACATCGCTTACTCCCTGTCACGTGCGTCTCCCAGTGCAGCTGCAGCATTCCTAAATTCCTCACATCTGTATTTAAAGAGAGAGGAGGTTGCGTAGTTTTTGGATAACAGGTAGGAATGCTTTCGGCAGCAAGTAATAAAAACCCTAAGTAGGCACTTGCCCAAACAAGTCGAGGCTTGTTTTTGTTGCTTGACTAAAAGCTGTCAAGTGTCACTGAGCCTTAAAGAGAAATGCAGCTCTGAGTAGATGCTAAAACATGGATGAGCCTTGAAAACGTGATGAGTGGAATAAGTGTGTGTCAAAGGGGCCACTATTATACGATCCTGCTTATTTCAAATATTGAGAGTCAGCAAATCTGGCATAGTTGTAAGAAACACCACTTAAAAATAAGCCAGCAAGAAATATGTCTATTAACTGTGTATGTTTCCAACATTGCTCTTTACCTAGGTCCAAGAGCTAACCATTTCCTCTTGTAATCAAACAGACCTTTGGCACAGCAGAACCCTGGTGGCGACTGTCAGCTGCGCATGAAGACTACAGGCCTTGTGCAGCTCTACAAGGAGCGACCAGCTGAATGGAAAGAACCAGAGCTTTTTTTACAGAAATCTCTGGATCACTCTCAGGCTTAGGGGAATGGGTAGTCAGACGCTTCCGGGAAAACTCCCTCGAGTGTTTTCACTTACGCTCTTAAGGATCCTGCAGTGGATTTGAGAATCTTTGGGTTGGTTCTCTTTGCTTGGATTTAATTAAGGTGATGAACCCATCCTCTGGTGGAGGGAGAATCCACCGAGAACTGCTTTGTGGCTCAACAGCTCCCCCTGCTGCTTATGTCCCAGCCCCCCAGGAGGCAGACCCGAACTTGGCAGGGAAGTCTCAGAGCTCGAGTCCTCCGGCCCCACTGGGACAACAGTGGGATTTATTTATTTTATTTTTTTTAGAAATGAGGGACGCAGTTTGTTCCTTAATCCATTTAAAACAAGGTGGGCAAAACAACCAAAACAGAGCACACACTTGTCTACATTAGTAGCTTTTTATTAGAACAGTCACTTGCTGGGGAAATGACCGCTATGACAAAGTTAGGGAGTTGGGTCAAATACTAAACTGTCTGGCCCAAAGCATTTTCACTTTCCCTTTTTTTTTAAAGACGAAAGGTAGGTTTTCCCACTGACTATTGACTTGGTCGTTAAATATTGTTCATCTGTAAACATTTGCACTTGATGCAGTTTTGTATTGTTATAAAGAACTTGTTCTGTTAAGCCATTTCTTCAGGGAGTCCTATAAAACCAGTGAAGAACTATAAAAAAGATTTAAAATCCTTGGGAACTTCTGCTTCAGGGTTATTTGCCTTGCTATCTTTATTAAATATTTACTTTGGGGGGCTCTTTTCCCCCTTGACTCTTTCTTCCTGTCTCTGCAGCAGACCAGCTTATTTCTCTGTGAATGTTGTGGTACGTCCTGGGAAATACAGCTATTTACTGATAGAGCAGAGGGACAGTGGCTTCACAGGGGAACGGAGAATGAGCTGTTTCACTCAGCTGAACGCCAAGGGCTAGGTGCAGATCCAGATGTTCAAGTGGCATCACGAGCAGCTGCTCTCTGCCCATCTTGGCCCGTGCTTGCATTGGTGTGAGCACTTTTCCAGGCAGACCTTCCTCACCTGGAGGCCCCAGCAGCTATCGTTTTATGCCAGATTGACGGTGTGCTTTCCCTACCGGATACGAAAGCAGCCGTGGGGGCAGAGTGGGTTACGTGACTTCTCATTTAAGCCTCTACTGAAGAAGGATCTCTATCCAGGTGCAGAGGATCACTGGCATCAGCCAGTTCCTTGCAGGTGCTGGGCTGAGGGCCACTGGTTTTACTTGTTGAATGTAAGTGGTTCAGGCCTCTCTCAGTCTGGAGTGAGTCTCATTCTTTTCTCTAATAGTTTTATTATAAAATTCACATATCTACTTCCACAGTCAAGTCACTTTTAACAAGAGCTGTATATACATCAACACAATCAGTTCTAGTGTTCCTTTCCCCTTTATTCTTTATTTGTTCCCCAATTCCGCTCAACCACATCTGCCCCTTCTGTGCCTCATAAACTGGGAAACATATCGAAACAATAAAAAACAAAACAGAAAAAAAAAGGGAAGAATGTAAAGACCATTGTCAATATTAAAATAAGCCAGAGAGAAAACTTCTGTCTGGGAACAAGTGAGAAATATTTAAACCTAGAGCAAATTCAGAATGAGTCAAGAGGGTTGTCAACTGACCAGGTATCGCATTCTACTGTCATCCACCATAGTCAAGTGTACAGTAATCGCTGATAGTAAGGCTGTTTGAATAGTCCCTCAACTACGGACTTCTGAAAGAACAAACATATGTCTTGGAGAGGCAAAGACGGGGAGACTTTATCTCATGTTATTTGGACTTATCAGCAGAGATCATATGGTTGGTAAAGCAGAGGGGCAATGACACGGATCAGCAGGTCAGGAAGGGTGTCACTGTACTGAGTGGTGTGATTGATCCTGATTACCAAGGAGAAATTGGACTGGTGCTACATAATGGAGGTAAAGAAGAATATGTCTGGAATCCAGGCGATCCCCTAGGCTGTCTCTTAGTACTACCATGCCCTGTGATTAAAGTAAATGGTAAACTACAGCAACCCAATCCTGACAGGATGTCTAATGACCCAGAGCCCTCAGGAATGAAGGTGTGGGTCACCCTACCAGGCAAAGAACCATGGTCAGCTGAGGTGCTGGCCGAGGGCAAAGGTAATACCAAATGGGTAGTAAAAGAAGATAGTTCTACCTATCAGTTACGACCATGTGATCAATTGCAAAAACAAGGTTTGTGATTGTCAGTATTTCTTCTTTATATGTGCTTATTGAATATCGTGCCTTTGTTCATATACCATGTACCAGATAAAATCAGATTCATTGTGTTTTCATTTATATATATGATATTAGGTGTGTTTTTTATTAATGCATGGAAATTACATATGGCTAAAGAGTTCTGTGAAAGTGTCAAGTTGACAAGGGGTGGTCTGTGGCAGTAACAATCTGTCTAGCCTGTCAATCAGGTCATAGCCAATGACACCTCTGTGTGAGCATGGCCTTCTCCTGAGAATTCTGGGAACTCCTGTATTCCTTTCTGACAAGGTCTTCCTGCTGACAAGCCAGATGTATGTTGATGGAGCCAGAACTCTGGGGATGGAGGAGTCACGTGGAGACCCACACCAGTGCTGAAATGCTTCCACTGGTTCCACAAGACTTTCCACCCACTGGCCTGTGATCTTTCCTCCTGCATTTGGTGCCATTGCATGTGCTACGTGAGTTTGAAGAAGAATTTATAGACTGGTAATGGACAGATGCGCTTATATTGGATTTATGGACTTAACCTGTATATTTTCTTAATGTACAATTGCTCTTTGATATAAAATTTTCTCTTACACACATCTGCGTCTACCTGGATTTGTTTCTTTAGTCATTCCAGACTGACACAACCCTCAACATGATGGACTGACACACTGGCTGTAACAATGGACTCCAACATAACATTTGTGAGGATGGTGCAGGGCCGGGCGATCTTTTGTTCTGTTGTGCATGGGCTTGCTATGAGTCGGAACAGACTCGATAGCACCTAACAAAAACACAACCAGGCGGTCTGGACACTCGGACCTCTTTCCTCAGCTGCCCATTTGAACCTCTGTCAAGTGTACTAAAACTTTCCCATGTTTTGCTGTACTTTCACTTTCAAGAAATCTTTCTTATGCTTTGCTGCATACTGTGTCTCTTGGCCAAATTCTTTCTTCCCCCAAACACGAAGAACTCAGAAATATCCCAAGACCCATCAGCAACATAAGCACATTTACTGACCACATGAAATGAATGTAGCACACAGATATTGCAAATGACAGTATATCTTCTAACTCCACATAAACAATACAGATCTTCCCATATTTTGACCTGACATTCATACTGAATTCATACACTGGTCACACATTCTCACATGTTAATCCCCATTCTGAGACCAAAGAGGTAGAAAATTCCACTTCTCATGTGGAACATGTCAAGAACTGAGAGACAGGTCTCCCATCATAACTCTCTTGTCATCAGATGCAAATGAACAAGGTCTATAGTCAAGGCTCCTTTAATCTTGCTTTTGCCTTAAATAACTTTCTGGGAATCGGCCCTGACCAGACAGAGCAAGCGAGGTCAAGCAAAGGCCAGAGACAAGAGCTGAATAGACTTTGATGGGTGCACACAGCGTCATGTGGGATTAAACTGGAATAGCCATCCTGGAAAACAGGAGGAACCTAGTATGTCCTTTCCCTTCATAAAAACACAGTAGTTCCTGCCCGGTTCAGGAATCTGTATAACTCCTCCCCAGTCCTTTATTAAGGAGGCAGTGTGTTGGAATCCTGCATGGCCCTGGTGGTGTCCTGGTTACATACTGTTCTACCTTATCCTATAGGGTTGCAATGAGTCAAAACAACTCGGGCAGTGAATGAGTTGAGTTTAGGTTATTCTTAACTAAAGTACAAAGCAGTGAGCTCCTTGAGTTCAGTAATGAGTGTAAACATTGAAAACACAACAGACACACCCATGTGTCCATTCTCTAGACCCCATATGTCCATTATGGTGGGGAGATGTTATATCAACTTGATGGTACCTGTGTGAAGGGAAGGATGGGATTCCACCTATCAATCAGGTGGTAGCCTGGGGATGCCCCATCTCTAGGGGTGGCCCCCTGTGGGCCCGTGACCCTGGGAGCTGTGGATGCCCCACCATGTTCCCACGTACCTTGGACCCACCAGCATATGAGTTCCCTGTTTTCATTCCACCTTTCTGCTTCATCTACCAGCAGACATGGGAGTCTGAAGAGGTCTCCTGCTAGCATGGTTCCCATGGACACATGCCGAGGGGCTGGAAAGAATTCTGAACATCTTGAATTGATGCAAGCGTTTTAGCTTCCTGAGGGGAAGAAACAGAGGTGCGCATGACCTCCCCAGCGAGTATGCCTCTTGAATGTGTCATTAAATAACAATTGTCCATTAGGGGTGTAGTGAAGAAATCGAAAATCCATGGTGTTTGAACCACTCTCCTCTCGGCCCTTCTGTCTCCAAGCAGTCCCTCTGTTCAAGACCCAACTCAAGGCTTAACGTGCCAGGAAATCAGGCCTCTCTCATGCACACTGGTCTCTACACATGCAGTCTTCACAGACCAGGTGTGGGGACCACGTTAAAAAAAAACAAAACGTGCTTTGATTTCCTTAATCTGTCCCTGAAACTCCTCCCAATCCCTGAGTGGCTGGGAGAAGAAGTCAGGCAAGTAGTCTCTGAAGTCTAGAAATGCTACAAACCGTGAGGAGAACTGTACCCTTGTTTGACTAAATTCTTTGCTGCTCGCCCACGCCCTTCCCCTCCTACCAGCCCTCTGCATAGGCGGACATCGGGTCTTTCATTTCAGATGAGCAGAGCCTTAGATACTTGCTGCTGAAAGTACTTACAAGAACTAGAAACAGTGAGAAGACCAGACCGAATCTAGAGCAGTGGCTCTCGGCCTGGAGGGATCTGGTACCCCCACCCCCCTGCAGATTAGCCATGTTGGGTTGTTATAACTGGGTGGGAATGTGTGCTGCTGGCATCTAGTGGATGGAGACCAGGGCTGTTACCAAACATTGTAGAATGCACTGGACAGACCTCCACAGCCAAGAATGATCTCAAATGTCAAAAGTGCCCAAGCTGAGAACCCTGGATGAAAATAACAAGAATTAAGAGCACTATCAAGTAGAAAGCAAATGTGTTGAGAATTATGATGGCAACAAATGTACAAAAGTGCTTGACACAATGGATGGATGTATAAATTGTGATAAGAGTTGTATGAACCCCCAATAAAATGATTAAATTAAAAAAAAAACTAAGAGAACTAGGCTAAGCGGTGGCTAAGTGGGTTTGAGATGCAGCCAGGTCTTCCTCAGATGTCAGTTCCCCTAGTGGCACAAGAGATACACTTCCAGTTTCCCAGTGTTCAAAGCTCTTTAGCATCAATTACCAGTGGGCCTGAGAGATTATTTTATTCTCTCCCTTATTCCTTCTTCAACTCCCAGAAGAGTCTCCAAATGAACCAGTGACGAAGCCACAAGAGGGAGCTCTGGTGGTATAGTGGTTCTCCATTAGGCTGCGATCTGCATGACCGGCAGTTTGAAACCACCAGCAGCTCCCCTGGACAGGGTGGGCTTTCTGCTCCTGTAAACAGTTACAGTCGTGGAACCCCACAGGGGGTCGCTATGAGTCAGCAGTGAGTCTGGTTTTGGAAGTCACAAGAATCCAGGCTGTGGGGCTCCCAGCTCAGAGCTGTTCTCTGGCCCACTGACGCCTTCTTTGTTCAAACAGCACTAATAGTAAGGGTGAGACTTTAGGAAGATAGAATCTTGCACCCAAACAATTGGGTGCCAGAATTTCAATCCCCATTTCAAAATATTTTTAAAAAACCAGCAGAGGCTAAGAGAAATGGAATTGAAAGTGCTTCCTCATTTTTTTCTTTCATTCTTTTTTCTTTAATTTATAAGCCAGTAGAGGGTGCTCAGACCCTGGCATTTGAAACTAGTTTGGGTGTTACCTGGCAGGCAGACTGGACCTTTGGTTCTCTTAGAATTTGAGGATGTGTGTGTGTTATTCAAAGGCAGATTCTGGTGCATCAGGCCTGGGGAGAGGCCCAAGTTTCTGCATTACTAACACATTCTCAAGGGAGGCCTTTTACCCACCATGCTTTCAATGAACCGTTGCCATCCTGTCAAATCCAACTCATAGGACAGAGTAGAATTGTCTCATCGTGTTCCCAAGATTGTAATCCTTGTGGAAGCAAGCTTCTACATCTTTCTTCCACACAGGGGATGGTACGTTTGAGCTGCCGACCTTGACCTTTCAGTTAGCAGCTAAGAATGTCAGCACTGTGCTTGCAGGGCTCCTATATCATAGATATCCTGTCTGACCCTCTCCTTCAGAGAACAAACCTGAGTCCCCGAGAGCAAGGACTATGCACAGTAAGTGTAATGCCAAGGTTAGACCTAGGTCGCCTGCATCTACTGCTCTTTTCAGGATTTCTTCTCGGCCCTTGGACCCTGGGGCAGATG